GAAAGACAATTTCTTGTCGATTACTGTTCTTTTATATATGAAGTAAAATTATAGCGATGGCAAATGTCGATAAAACATATATCAGATAAATTGTAACACCTCAGAAATTCATAAAAATGCAAATATTGGAGAAAAGGAAATAAAAATTGTGTATAACACAAAATGTGAAGTGTAACAAATGAGAGATCTGAAATTTAAATCAGTCATTTTTATTTATATTTATTAATCTAGATCTGTCTTATCTCCCAAACAAAAATAGCACAAAAAATTTAATTAATACGATCCATTTGTTACAAGAATAATTCTGAAATATCCAGGTTAAAAAATTAAAAAAATAAAAGCACATTTGTCTCTTTGATTCTCTTCTATTTTATTAATCGAAACAGATTTCCATAAATTAACTTACATAGCAATAATTATTAATTGTTATTTATCCTCCTATTAATTTTACATCTCCAATTTGTTAACGCGATTCGCGACGAATAAATTGGTGATTTCGTGACGTTTACGGGTTTATTCCATTGTTCGGGTAAAGACAGTTGTTTCGAAACAACTGTTGGTCAAAGCGAAAATTCGTTTCGTCGACAGAAACCGGATTTCCGGACTCTATTTTCTCAGAGATGCTTCTGTGTACGACCATCCGCAACTTCGTTACGTTCTGTTACCACAAAACGAAGTATGCTCTATATTTTCTCTTGTGAAATGATCCATGGCGGATTTCTGATCCGATACGCGTTCGTGATGCTTGGAAACCACTTTGTCTTAGTCGTTTCTGTGCTTTTGTAGCGTTGATATCTTTGGCTTTGAAAGAAAATATGAGGGAAAGTTTATTTTGGGAGTTGGGGAAAGAAATAAATATTTGAACATTTGTGGATTTTAGGATTTGGTGATTTAGGGATTTTAGGTTTTGGTAATTTAGGGGTTACAAGGTTTGGTTAATTGGGGATTTTAAGGTTTGGTAATTTGGAGATTTCGAGGTTTGGAAATTTGGGGATTTCAAGGTTTGGACATTTGGGGATTTTAAGGTTTGGTAATTTGGGGATTTTAAAGTTTGGTTATCTGGGGATTTCACGGTTTGGTTATTTGGGGATTTCAAGGTTTGGACATTTGGGGAAATTTAGGTTTGGACATTTGGGGATTTCAAGGTTTGGAAATTTAAGGATTTTAAAGTTTGGTTATTTGGGGACTTTGAGAATTGGTAATTTTGGGATTTCAGGATTTGGTAATTTGGGGATTTCAGGACTTGGTCATTTGGAGATTTTAAGATTTGATAATTTGGAGATTTTAAGATTTTGTAATTTGGGGATTTCAGGATTTGGACATTTGGGGATTTGAAGGTTTAGACATTTAAGGATTTCAAGGTTTGGTTATTTGGGGACTTTGAGATTTGGTAATTTAGGGATTTCAGAATTTGGTCATTTGGGAATTTCAAGGTTTGGACATTTGGGGATTTGAAGGTTTAGACATTTAAGGATTTCAAGGTTTGGTTATTTGGGAACTTTGAGATTTGGTCATTTAGGGATTTCAAGACTTGGTCACTTGGAGATTTAAACGTTTGTTAATTTGGGGATTTCAGGATTTGGTTATTTGGAGATTTTAAGATTTGGTAATTTGGGGATTTCAAGATTTGGTTATTTGAGAATTCGGTAATTCAGAAATATAACAGCGTTTTAATAATTCATCGATCAATGCTACGATTCATGCAACCCGATAGAGTACTAACATGTTAAACACTTTATCGTACATACTGTACGTGTTCAACTATGAATAACGCTTCGATACAACACGAATGCAACGCGAACTAACCAGATTAGTATTTGCTCAAACTCAGGGCGGACCACAAGCGGGTCGATAGTATGCGTCAGACCTAAATGATTTATAACAAGACTAATTAATATACTCTGTCAATCTATTGATTTCAATCACTAATCAATTTTTTATTTACTATTCAATCACTGGCTTTGATTAAATTTCTATGGGTATCAATACTATAAGGAAAAAATCTACTTTTAATCTAAGGAAAATAGAGCGAACTCATAAAGTGAAGTTCAGAAGAATTTTTAGAGGATTTTCTAAAGATTTTTAGGGCTTGATAAATGTGGGAAGTTGTTGCTGGTTTGGGAATTTCAGTAGTTAATTTTTATATTTTTAGGTTAGGGATTTGGGAATTTGAGAAGTTTGGAATTTGTGGATTTAGGGATTTGGTTGTGGAGAGATTTGGGGATGTGGGGATTTGGGGATCAAGGGATTTAGAGATCTAGAGATTAGGAACTGTAGAAGCTTTGAGAGATAGGTGCTTGGACGCTTAGATATTTCAAGATGTGAAGATTTGGGGATCTAGGTTTTTGAAGAGCTATGAATTTGGAGATCTGGGCATTTGGAGAATTAGGTAGTTAGAGACGTACATAGGTAGCTGGAGACCTAGGCATTTGGTCCAGGTATTTGGACTCTTAGGTGTTTGCAAACTTCCACATTTGGAGATCTGAGCATTTGGAAATATAGGAATTTGAAGATCTAGACATTTGAAGACCTAAGAATTTGAAGATCTAGACATTCGGAGAGTTAGGTAGTTAGAGACCTACATAGGTAGCTGGAGACCTATGTACATAGGTCTGTAGCTACTTGGAAGCCTAGGCATTAGAACACTTCCAGATTTGAAGATCTATGCATGTGGACAGTTAGATGTTTGAAGACCTAGATATTTAGAGACCTAGCTACTAGCAAACCTTTGTATTTGAAGACCCAAGATTTGGAGAACTATGTACCTGACCTAGCCATTTGTAGGTTTAAGTATTTGAACAGCTAGATGTTTGCAAACCTACACATGTGAAGCTCATTTGGAGATCTATGTATCTGGAGTCTAGGTATCTGAACACCTAGATATTTGCAAACCTACTCATGTGAAGCTCGTGAGCATTTAGCGACCTATGTATCTGGAGATCTATTATCTCCCAAACCTTGATGCTACAAAAATTTCACACCTAAACATCTCCAAACATAATAACCATTTACAAACTTCAAAGCTCATCCTTCAATCACGTCCAACCAATCCAAGCAGCAAAATAACCAAGTAATCCACCTGCAAGCTCGAAACCCACGAAGAAAAGTGTTTTATTCAATCAAGCAACACATTCTGACGAGGCAAGCTCGAATATTACCAGCTACCCAAGAGAATACAACGCATCATCCTCGAGGGCAGAAAGAACCTACGTGATCTCACGATGATCTATGAACTGTTAACGCTCCGCGCGGAGGCAAAGACGAAGGATCACATTGTTAGCTTTTCAACCGTGGAGGTGTTGGTTGATACACAGTCGGTCCCAGGGCCGTGCAGAAAGGCAGTGCCCGATACGTGACCGGAGTGTCAAAACGTTCAGGCAACCTTTCAAAAATCCTCTCCCTTTTTCCGCTTCTTTATCGCCCCTGTCGCAAAGCGACACGCGGACCAACCGATCCACCGTGTTAATCACCGACGTTTGCTGCAAGCTCCGTGTCCTCTCGCCAGTGATTTTTTACCGGATCGTCGCTGATTAGAGACTACATTCGCGCCACGTCGCACTTTTTATCAGAGTTTATGGCCGGCGCGGCTCGAGATTTCTCTTTATAAAGCTCACGGCTATATCGCGTTTTAAGCGCGAAATCTACTACTCGCCTTTTTTCAGGGAACTGATCACAATCTGCGTTCGTACGTGAAACACTTTACTTTTTCTGCTGAATTGATTGGGTTGAGTACAATTTTATTGCTGGGTTTATTGTGGAGATTTATTTTTTTTAATTGTTTACTTTATATTTTTTGATGAGGTACTCTTGAAAGTTTATTATTTTTAGGTTAAAGTAGGTTTGAAAGGTAGGTAGTTAAATTTACTTCAAAGGAGGTTTGTAGAATTTAAATTTGGCGCGTAAGTGATGTTGACCTTGAGCTTGGTTTTCAAAGCCAAACTTCTTTAGTTATTCTGTCATGTACTCCTTTGTAACGGTTAAAAAGTTTCAAGGGAACCATAGGTGCAAACTCAATCGTTTACTGGGAAATTAATAAATTTTTATGTAGACGGCAATATAACGAGAGTCTGTACTTTCTTCTTGAATAAATTGACTCATGGGTGATTTAATATGAAAAATGTGCTTATTGAAACCAGGTTTTTGACATGATTTAAAAATTGTTCAATTTTTGTGTAACCAAAATATGAAACACCTCTTGATATATGGCAAGTTTTATTGTAATAGGAATACTGTGGTTTTAATGTATGAATTGCTTCATTTTTATGAGTGTGATTGAATTGCACCATTTTTATTAATATAAAAATTGCTTTATTCTTATTAATATAAGAATCGCTCAATTTTTATTGACATAAGAATTGCTGCATTTCTATTAGTATAAAAATTGCTGCATTTTTATTAACATAAAAATTACTACACTTTTATTAATAAAAAAATTGCTCCATTTTTATTGACATAAGAATTGCTGCATTTTTATTAGTATAAAAATTACTGCACTTTTATTAATAAAAAAATTGCTCCATTTTTATTAACATAAAAATTGCTGCATTTTTATTAATAAAAAAATTGCACCATTTTTATTAACATAAAAATTGCTGCATTTTTATTAGTATAAAAATTGCTGCATTTTTATTAACATAAAGATTACTGCACTTTTATTAATATAAGAATTGCTCCATTTTTTTCAACATAAGAATTGCTGCATTTTTATTAGTATAAAAATTGCTGCACTTTTTTAACATAAAAATTACTGCACTTTTATTAATAAAAAAATTGCTCCATTTTTATTGACATAAAAATTGCTGCATTTTTATTAGTATAAAAATTGCTGCATTTTTATTAACATAAGAATTGCTGCATTTTTATTAATAAAAAAATTGCTCCATTTTTATTAATTTTTGAATTGCACCATTTCACAAGACAGTTAAATTGACTATTTTTAATGAAGCCAAAAAGGTACATAATTAAAAGGAGTTGAACTAAAATTGAAACTAAACACTCACCACCGAGAAGGAATAATCCACAAGCGACCAGGGTTCTATGATCCGAACAACAGTGTCCAATTAAAGCTGAGATCGTGGCAGCAAGGACTAGTATCAGCGCTACTATTTGAAACGGGGCTGAAATCCTGAAACAAACCCATGTTACGTTAGTCAGTTTTATTTATAAATCATAAAAATATACATTGCACTCGTTTTTTCAAATTTGACTAATTTTCAAAATGACTCTTTTGTGATCCCATTTTGCACCACCTCAGTAAATTACAAATTTACAGTGTTAAATTTTTGTTCAGTAACCTGTTTAATAATTAATATCATACATCATCGGATAATCAATATCATTCATTATCACTCTTTAATAATTAATATAACCGAACACCAACTGTTTAATAATTAACATAACCTGTTGCATAAACTTTTACAAAACAGAAGGCTCCAAAATATTTTCCTAGCGATATTTCAACTACATCAAATAACTTCAAGAATAAATACCCATAAAATAATAGATTAACTCTACTACGTGTCTGCAAGATTTTTAATCAACAAAATCCTCCCCGATCTCTGAACGTGGATTACAAGTTACCTTCGAGTGTTCCCCTCGGCATAGTTAAACGCGATACTCCACGACCGTTCGCCTCAACAAGACACGCGTCGTTCGGGGATGAAAATTGATGTTACCATCATCTGTCACGGCACTTCGGAACTTTGCCGAGACGAAGACAGAGGAGGTTAATCAAGATTTTCGCGGAAACTGGAGTTCCAGGTGACAAGCGAATTCGATCATGTCCTCTGAAATTTTCATCGACTTCGAAAGCTCAAACTTCTTCGTTTCGATGAAGATTCTTTGAATTTAACGAAGCTTTAAGATTTTCAAGATTGAGTATAAATATCACGATCTAGGGATTTTTCAGTGACAGAATTTAAGGGACTTTCGAATCTGGGGTCTTGGATATTTAGGGATTTTTGGATCTGGGGTTTAGAGATTTAAGGATTTTTGGTACTAGGAATTTTTGGTATTAGGGATCTGGAATCTAGGAATTTTTGGTACTAGGGATTCTGGGATCTAGAGATTTCTGGTATTAGGGGTTCTAAGATCTAGGGATTTGGGAATCTAGAGATTTGAGGGTTTGGGAATTTTTGGTACTGGGGATTTTGGGATCTAGGGATTTCTGGTATTAGGGGTCCTAAGATCTAGAGATTTGGGAATCTAGAGATTTGTGGGTTTGGGAATTTTCGGTACTAGGGATTTTGGGATCTAGGGATTTCTGGTACTAGGGATCTTGGGATCTAGGGATTTGAATGTTTGGGACTTAGAAATCTAGGGATTTTTGGGTTTGGGAATTGTGGAATCTACGGATTTTTGGAATTTAGGGATTTTGAGATTTAGGAATATGGGAATCTAGAGATTTTGGGAACTTGGGATGTTTGGAATCTAGGGATTTTGGGATTACTAGTAATTTAGGGACTTTTGGATTTAGGTAAATATTGATATAGGAATCTAGGGAATTCGGTCATCCATGAATTTGGGAACCTAGGAATTTTTGAATCTAGGGAATTGGGTGAAATTTGGGGATTTTGAGATCTAGGTAAATTTTAATATGAGAATCTATTAATTTCTCCAATTACGAATTTGAGGACCAAGAAAGAGAATTTAAGAAAATGGGGAAATATAAATTTGAGAATCCAGGAATCTAGTGACCCAGAAATTTGATGAGCTTGCAAATTTTTCAGACATACAATACAGCATCATTTTTACAAAAATTTTCTGAACAATCGCTAAGAATTGTTCACGTACCACGATCTCAAAGAGGTTCCTCAAAGAAAGGCACAATTCCAGGCGCGATAATTGAATCTCTAGTGGAAATTGCTCGATCATTAAATGAGTCCGATGAAATCGAATGGAAGTAACGCGAGAGCAGTACAGGAATCTAATGACGAGTGTCGAGCACGCAAGATAGTGGGAAATAAGTGCTCAAAGCTGGCAAAATGGTTTATTGTCATCTCGCGTTCCCTTTTCGACCGCCGTTCTTCATAAACAGCCGATGGAATTGGCAGCGAAAACGAGAGAAAAAAAGGATCGCGTGGAGATCCTCGTCGCGTCAAATTGATCGCTTAATAATGCAAATACGATTTGAATCGTTAACTCGAGCGGTGCTTGATAGGATTTCAGTTAAACAATTCATTCGTGCTTAGGTGGTTGGCTGGAAATTGAGTTTCCCTGGTAACGCCGGCTGAGAATATCACTCGAAACCACTGATTCGTGGTATTTCGATGAACTGTTCGATATAGTTTGTGGTCATTTTATTGTGGTTCAAATTGTTATATTTAAAAAATTTTTTTAATTTGTTTGTAAAGTCTCAAATTATAGATTTTATAGTTTTTAGATTTTTAGGGTTTTGAGACTGAAATTCGGCTGATTGAACATCCAGCTTCCTAAATTCTCAAATTCCAAAATTCTCAACCCCTAAATTCCATATTCAACAAATTTCAAATTACCCTAATCCTCAAATCCCTAAACTCACAAATTCTACATTTCCCAAATTTCCAGCTCTCCAAATTCTCAAATTAGCAATTTCACAATTTTCCAAATTTCCATCTCCCTAAGTTCTCAAATTCCAACCCTCTCAACCCCTAATTCCAAATTCACTAAATTTCAAGTTCGCCTAATTCTCAAATCCCCAAAGTCTCAAACCGTAGATTCTACATTTCCCAAATTTCCATCTCCCCAAATTCTCAAATTCCAACCCTCTCAACCCCTAATTCCACATTCACTGAATTTCCATCTCCCAAATCCTCAAATCCCCAAAGTCTCAAGTCCTAAATTCCACATTTCCCAAATTTCCATCTCCCCAAATTCTCAAATTCCTACCCTCTCAACCCCTAATTCCACATTCACCGAATTTCCATCTCCCCAAATCCTCGAATCCCCAAACTCACAAATCCTAAATTCCACATTTCCCAAATTTCCAGCTCCCCAAATTCTCAAATTACCAATTTCACAATTTCCCAAATTTCCATCCTCCTAAATTCTCAAATTCCAACCCTCTCAACCCCTAAATTCCACATTTACCAAATTTCCCCACCCACTTTCCCAATTATCATTCCCTCCCAAATCCCGAAATTTGCCATATTTTAATAACGTATTCGTAACATTCAGACATTTTAAAACAGCGAAAATATTTACCGATCGTGACGTTCCAGGAATTCCTGAACAAAGTTTCGCGCGGCCGAACTTTTCATCAACAAACGTCGACTCGCGCGAACGAAAAAAAAAATAGAGGCATTAGGCGGAAAATGCCGGACGGGAACGGCACGGAAAATCTAGCGAAAATTCGGTGAATTTCGCTGGTGAAAACTTAGTGACAGACAGAGATATTCCGGGAAAATTCTGTCCGCGAGGCAGATCGGATGGTCGTATCGCGAAGGGTTGTCGTTGCAGGTAAAATGGCGGAGGACATGGCAGTCCAGAGGTAGGGAATTTCGATACCCGGCTGTAATACACGTATTCGTAGCTATCCTGGTAAATGGAGCATGCTGGGTAACGACGCGTCTCGCAGTAAGGGATGCTGTTCCCTCGAACCAACCCCTACTCACTCTCGAGTTTTGGAGATCATTTCACACGAACTATGTCGATCAGCTGAATGCCGATTTCATAATTTCTGTGAGGACCGACGTTTTTAGCTCCTTTTGGAAGTTTTCATTTTAGCTACTTTGGGAAGTTTTTGTTTTTTTGGCAAATTCGGGTGCAGGAAAATTAGTTGAATGGATAGAATGTCAAGATCTTATGTTCATAAGAGATGTAGGGAATTAATAAGGAAACATAATACGTTATTACAACGAGAAGCATTGATGTTAAAATTATTAAAATTGTTGAAATGCAAGATGATGTTAAAATTGTTACAATTATTGAAATGAAACATTATGTAAAAATTAAGATAATAAAATGTGATGTTTAAAATTGTAATAATTAAGCTAGTTGTTAAAAGAAAAAAATTGAACAATTCCATCAGTGATACAAAGTAGAGATTTATTTTTGAATCACTCTGTACAATATATTAGTTTCTGTACAATATATTGTCATCAGTATTAGACACATTTTATACACAAACAAATTAATGAATTTTTTACATGAAGACATTTACGTGATAATCATAAAAATTACTAAAAAAAAAAGTTTATGTAAACATTCTGAACTTGAAAAATTAATTTCTGTGTCACTCTGAATAACAGTAGTTTTGAATAATATTTTGTGAATAATTTTAAACGAATATCATCAATGCTACTTTGTACAATAACAAATGTCTACCCAAATTATTGAAATAACATTTGAATTTTTTTAATGTATAATTTTGTTGTATAACTTTCATAAGTTAATGAAAGTTCTATAAAAATTTCATAAATTTTTATTGAGTGTATATTTCCTACATCAGTTATTTAGAGCGAATAAATAACTGAGAACAAATAAAAATAGAGGGTCGATTTGAATTTGTTGGAATGGAGCTAGTTACCAGCAGGAAATAAACGGTATGTGAATCTCGTACGTGTGTCATCGACGTCATTATATCGAGGTGTGGCAGCTATTGCGAATGACGAAGAATGAGGCGCTACAGGCGACGTTTATGAGACACGGGCTTGATTAAAACGTAATCACGCTGCCAACCGTTCGAACGGGAATTAATATCGTCAATATAAATGTCGAACGAGATTTTTGCTTCCAGGCGAGTGCCACTTCAATTTATTTATTTTTCGTTGCGCAAGTTTAGTCGATTTTAATCAGATACCGCGAATGAAATTGTATTACGTTTTGCCGATGAAGATTGGAATTTTTATAAACGCTATTGTGTATACTAACCTATAGGCTACGATAAAAATGATGAAATATTAAGTGTCCATAGTTGAGGTTAGGTTAGACAATTTTTACAGACGTACAATAAAAATGATTAAATATTAAGTGTCTATTGTTGAGGTTAGGTTATGAAGTTTGTAACAGACCTTCAGTAAAAATGATAAAATACTATGTTTCTTTATTTGAGGTTAGGTTACAAGGTTCATAACAGATCTATAATAAAAATGATAAAACAGCAAGTGCCTATATTTGAGGTTAGATTACAAAGTTTGTAATAGGCCT